ATGTTATTGAATTTAAGTAAATCACTAGGATGGGTGGTATCTATATAAATATTTCGTAATTGATTATGTTTTGAATTGTATTTAACTATAAGATTGATGATGTTGGGTTTACATATATTTGGAAGTTGAAAATAAGTGATTTTTTTTGAATGATTGAATATTAATCTAAGAACGGTTCTTGTGACTTGGGTTTTCCAATCTTTATCAAGATCGAAATCATTAATTGTTCGGTAATCGATTCTATTAGTAACAATCCTAAAAATATTATCAACACGAATTTGTCTGATGAGGGATAAATAATTGAAAAAAGGTTTTTTTATATTTTTAAAATGAGAAGAATAAATTTGAAACAAAATACTTTCTTCAGTATACTCGGATAAATAATAACAAATTATTTTTTGTAAGCTTGTATAATTTCTTCCGACACATGAACAAAAAGGATCTTCCCATAAATAAGGAAGACAAGCTGAGGCAAATGATCTCGAAACCAAAACATAGTTAAAAAAATTATTATAATCGATACAAATTAAAAATGAAAAGATCATTGAAAGAACTTCGGGAGGTAATGAATTCAAATTCATTTTATTTTTGGTAATTTGAAAATTACATGTTGATGGTTTAAATACCTATACATTATTAATAATCAAAATAAATTAAATTTTCTTCTTCTTTTTTATTAATAATACAGTTACCACAGACAAGCTATTTACATAAATACTTATTATCGATTAAACAATAAATATGCTTATTTTTACAATGTTTATAATTTTTACATAAATCATATGCGATAATATCTGGTGAGAAAACACTTTCGGTATTTATAAATGATTGCATTATGGAATTTTGTAGATATTTTTCTTCTTTATATCTATTATATTTTTCCTGATCTTTTAATTTTTTTTCTTTAGATAATTTATCTAATGTTTTATTAATGTTTTTTTTATCAGTATATCCGTATTCTTCAATTGTTTTTTTTAAAAGATCGTTTAAAGTCATATTCAGATAACAACATCTGTTATTCATATTTTGAGTTGTGTAAGGCATGGTTTTATTTTTTTTTCGTAAATTCGATATTAAAATATGTAAAATTTGGTATCTTTATTTATAATAATTTGATTAATAAACAATAAATAATAATTAATAAATTAAAGTTCACAAATGATATTATTGTGATGTAAAATTTTTAATGAATCTAAAATAGTTGAATATATTTCAATACATGAATTATCTTCAGA